GAAATGAAGTCAAAAAACACTCCATGTTATTTGATATGAAAATTCAGAAATAATAACTGTCGACTACCTCCAACCACCATCTTATCTCGATATAGTGTACGCGATGAAGAACCACCAAGACTGGTGGTGGATACATCAAAATACTACAGGAGATCAGTCATGACCCGGATTCCTCAACGGTAACTTCTATAAATGTGAAGCTGAGCGATATGGGATCGGATCCATCAGAGAGAATTAGTTCCTTCAAGATTACAGGTACACCATGTTGACAAGTGCCAAATAGCACGAAACCCGTGTACAGGGTTTCCTGTTGACTACCTCCAACCACCATCTTATCCCAACATAGTACTCGCAATGTCGAGTCGCTTAGACGGATGGCTACATTGCAACTTGGTCGATAGGATTCGATCTGCACTAAGAAGTATCTGACACATATGATATTGATCACCACCTGGTGACCAATCAATTGTGAATACTTCCAAATACCTTTATATCTGTTAAATAAGTTTTTAGCTATCAAAGCTCAGTAATTCAAGGGATAATATGTTACTGTTAAAAGGTGTAAGATATAAGGGTCTCAATATGAACATAAATACAGAACTGTCTAGTTGATTAGTCCTAAAGATGACCAAATGTGTCTGTTTGAGTCTGTTCTCAGAAACTTACCAAATATACCATCAATCCAATTAGTTGATGGCTTTAGGTCAAGGTTTAGTGGTGACTAGTTTTAAGTTTTAGTTGATATTTATCACAGATAAAGCTCAATTGGGGTAACACTGGACGAAAATAGTACTGAACAAGTGAGAACAATCGACTGTATTTGAATACAAATTTACACGATCACTTAGTAAAATCTGAAATCGATACAGTAAATACTTCACTTGCAGCATATCAATCAATCGTCTTAGGCTTCATTGTTCTTTCGTTTCCAAACGAATCATTTTCTGCCTTCATTCTCTTCTTTTCTCTTCGATCTTCTTAACATCCTCCACCAGACATTTCACTATCGGTTGATGATACATACTACTTTTATCTGTCAACATCAATAGCACACACCGCAATTACAGACTATGCCCAATTGGGGTACTATTCAACAATGATAGTACTGAACAAACGTTTCGACTCAATATATGAAAGTTATCTTCATGTGCATTGATTAATTAAACAATTACGTTAATTTTATGTTATCCTAACTGTAGGATTTTCTATAAATCATTGGCTGTTGTTATGTAAATTACTATTGATATTTGTACTATGTATATCCTGATTATGTATGTAATAAATTTTTGTTGGGATCACAAACCGACCCAACCTAGACAACTATTCATTCTAGTACGTCAGTACTCAGCAATGTGTGTCGACGACCATAGCACATTTAATCGGACCCAAGATCTTCATTTTTTTTAGCAAGGTTGCTTTCTATGGGATAGGATTGTTTAGCCCATGCCCAACCCTTCTCCTTTACCCAGGCTTGGGACAGGCAGTAACCTTAGAAGAGGTAAAGGGAGAGGTGAATAGGATATACTTTGCGGAAATCATCAAACTACATTAAAAGGCTGGCACAAACGTGGAATCTTGAAGGGGAACAGAAAAAAGCAAGTCCAAAGAACATAGTGAGTCAAGAATCGGAAGCAAACATCAAAAGTATAAGTAGCAACTGGATAAGATTGGAAAGAATTGTCCAGGGCTGAGTTGGGTGGAGAATGTTGGTGAACGGCCTTTTCTCCTCTACGAGGGGTAACAGACGTAGGTAAGTAAGTAAGATCTTCTTGTCTTTTGGCGAGACTTTAACATTAAGACCAATCGTTTACATACCTAACTTTGATCAATTCACCACATCAACCAACAATCGCCCATTGCTCTCAGTGGGTAACAATCTCATACCCCTGAACTTGACATCATTCCACTGGTTACGTCTTATCTTTGGAATCCTGAGAATTTTTTCACAAAGTTAGTTACTAATTGATAATTCTTGCTTATTGAACGCTATATTCGGTTCCTAAGCTATCTCGTAACCCCCAAGCAAGACCTACACGACCTGAACACGAGAGAAAAGGCATAAAAATATGCAAGAAGCACTTTACTCCAAAGTTCATTCTAGTGCAGAAAAATATAGCGTTTTCATAGTATTTTAGATGTCCTTGGGTTTCCCGAATATTCTGGAATGCTAATAAACATAGCAGCAGTATAGTAATCAGCCAATCAGAAACTCTACATGTGACTTTCCACTTCCTTGATGTTTCTGGCTAACCTTCAAGTGAACGCTTATTGGATGAAACGCATCTTAGTGTTTCTTGAGCCTTTCTTGTTTTTTGCGAGAAGTTTTCTGGATCACCCCAACACTAATTAGCAAATGTTCAATACTTCCTGGTTTTCAATGTTAATCTACCTTAGTTTGATTCGTGGTCTCGATAACATTTAAAAATCTCAACAAACCCCTGGTGCTGATAATTATTATTATGTGCTCACCTGTGAGAGGAATCTTCCTCAGTTCCAGTAAGAAGCCACGACACACTCTTCCACATCAGGTAATAGAAGACGCTTACAAAATATTACCAGCTAATTGAATTTAAATATATAAACCATTGGGTCTTTGCTCAGCGGTTCAGAAGTTAGACGTTCGAATGTGAGACCCCAAGCCTTAGGTTCGACCCCCTGTTTGATGTCGAGAATGAGAAATGATGTTTCATTTTAGGATGAGATAGTTTTAAACTGTTTTAGATCTAGGATTTAATATTATGCATTTTAGTAAAGGTTTTCATCACGAACTGACATTAGCGATGATGCCAAAATGTTATTTGACTGTGTGGATAAATGAATTGTGCGCACAAATCTAAGACCTAGTATCCTGAATTTCAAAGGTTCATTCATGAATTATAATTTGGCCGATGATTACTATGATTAGATTCTCTTTATCGTAATTCCTACATGAGCTTATTTCAGCTTCTGAACAGACATTATTCTATTGATTGTTTTGTTCAGTTGACCTTTCATCACTATCGGTATACTATTGTAATGTGTGTGTGATCCATTCAAGTGTATATGTCTACTTATTTGTATTTTGTACATTCCTTCTGTTAGCTGAGTCTCGTTCAATGTTCTCTAAATTCTAAGTATAGAGTTCATTCATGAACCGCTTTAAGTTAGACCATTGTTGAAAACCTGAAAGTCATTGACGGTCGTTTCTTCACAGTATGGGACTCCTTAGTGATGCACATCCACGACGCCGCTCACACAGATTGAACCTAGAACTTTCAGTCTCGAAGTTTATATGCTCCTGAATCAAGTAATTTATCCAGATTCTCATCGTTTATCTACTGTTCGTATATATGTTGAAAATAAACATGTACTTAAAACACTATTAGTATTCGAATTTTCATTTCCTGCTGTTATTAACTAGAATAGTCAACAGAGTATGCATAAAGTAAATAGGACCTATAGTTCATTTATCATCATCAACAGGATCAAAATATCCCGTTATAAAATGATGCGTCTTATCTCATACATGCACGGTATAGATCCTAAATAAATGGTACAAAATTGTTTGAAGGTTTTCTCTTGTACATAACATGACAGAATTGATTTTTCGTTACATGCAGTTAACCAACTGACTAGTAAATCTTTCTTTTAACATTTAATCAATATTGACATTTAGAGCGTATCAAATGATTAACGTAATTGTAAAATAAAACAAGACTATAATGTACATCACAGACCGACGATAGTTAGACAACTAGGAACTAATAGATAACTGTTCCGTTCTAGTATAGGACTTCAATTCCAAATGAAGAACAGCACAATAAGGTATATTGTTGGGGACGTTAGATCCCCAGAACGCACTTACGAAAGGACCTAATTTTGTCATTTTATTTAGAGAATTTTGAATTTCTTTGATTTCGCGCCAAAGACGCTCTTGCCATCTTCATGTCATACTTCCCACTTGAGAAATATCTTGAATGCTATTGGTCCAATGCATATTCTAATATGCTATTTGGTAACTCTCCCCAAGGACGGATTTGCACTGTATATATACGTTTTGAATTGTGTTTGTTGTTATCGCTCGTTTCTGGCTGATTTGCAGAATATACTTCCCATTCGTAGCTTCGACTTCTCCCTCTAGTTAGCGGAGCTGGTACGCATCAAATAGCTAGCTTACTGGTCTTGGTCACTGAGTCTTTGTTCTCGTTCGCAGATTAAGTGAACTTGTGTTAGCTTCAAACCTAGCATATGCTTAAAAGATATCTTATGAATTCAACTGTTAAAAATAATACAATTTACACAAATCCCCATTGTCACAATAATCATGTACTCATTAGTGACCAACTTCAAGATGGATTTACTAGAGTTCTAGTGGGAAGCTGTGATCAGTGGAATCTAATCTGTGTCGATTGTGGGAGAGTTATCCACCTCAAATAATAGATGAAGAGTTGTGCAAGATCATGGATTGATTGAAGTTAAACATTAATAACATCGGGTTCCAGGTCAATTATCTAGAGGTTAAACGTTCGCTCGCATCACTTTAGACCTTGGTTTCGAGTACCTCATGGGGGATCATAAATACTCACTACTGAAAAGTCCTATCCCATGGATCACCGTTAGACCACCACTGAAAATCTGAAAGCACTAAACGACCGTTTCTTTCTAGTATGAGACTCCTCAGAAAATTTACCAATAATCAATAGATCCCTGTTTAACGCTTGAATTTCAGCCATCTAACCCTTTAACTACCATAAACATGAATCCAATCTCTTGCCAATGAAGTACTTATCAATTAAATGTTATATTTAAAAGTACTCATGAAGAGGATAATTATGAAAGGACGAAATAAATGGCATTAAATGAAACAATTCAAACATAGCAGCAACAACAACAAAATCGATTACATGAACAAATGACAAAGCATTTCTTGAACATTGAATCTGTTAATAACTTATTTAAACAAAATTAATTATGTTTAATTAATTTTGTTTTGTTTTAATAAAGATTTATATAATTCATATCTATTGCCAATCAGCACCAAGTAATGCTAATAGAAGTCGTCTATAATCACCAGATGTTTCACTACGTATCCAATCTTCAAGTGAACTACCTTGATCATTATGAAATTGTGAACAAATACTTCCTAAATCAAACTAAATTAGGCAAAGAAAGAAAGAAAGAAAGAAACAAACAAATGTACTAAAAACAAGAGTTGATTAAAGATATAAAACTCAAAGCTATTTAGTTATATATAACTGTTTGACCTTACGACTGTAATACTATTGGCTAAATATGACAAGTAGATTTGACCAATCAGCGTGAAGTTAAATAAATTCAAGGTTGACTCAAAGAATGTTTATTTCAGTAGTTGAAATCATGAGTCAATTAAAGCTAGATCATCATGGAAAACCTGAAAGCACTGGATGGCCGTTTCGTCCCAGTATGGGACTCCTTAGCAGTGAGCATCCACTATTCAATAGTTGAACTATTTCCATAATTCAACTATTGAAATTTCTAAAATCTTCACAATACTTCTTCTGAAAATGTTTATTTATCTGTGTGTATCTATACAAACAATTAGTTTTGTGTATAATTATTCCCTTATTCGTTCATTAACAACGATTTGTATTGTAATAAGCTAGAAGAAGTTTTATCATGTTCAGATCATTATAAGCTATTTATTCTAAATAGATAATCAAGTATAGGATAGGAGCAATTAACTTACAATTAAATGAACTATTCAAAACATACATTACAATAATATTCGGATTGATTTTAAGACTCAAGTTACGTAATTCGACTTGGTTATTGAAAGCTTCTGTCGTCTAAGAAACTTGTAAGCATGCCCCTGTACAGCTGAGAGTGGGGAGAGTCAACTATCCCTCTCAAGTGATCACGCGTGTACGACCACTGAGAGTGAAGTCCTACTCACTGCCTTCTCAAAGCATTACTGTTGTTTACGAAATTGAGAGGATGAAAAGTGAATGTCTGGCGCTTTAACCGGGTTCGGTGGATATGGAGAGTCCACCTAGGGGAGTTGGAAAACCCTCATTCCAATCCAATGGTGCACATAGGCTCCAGCATCCTGAAGGAACAAATGGAATACGAACCAATTGTTGGTTACCGGCTACTATGGAACTGCATCTCCTAACGATGCTCCGCCTTGTGGATCAGACCTTTAGGTCAAAGGCTCCGGGTGTGGTCCAGTAAGAAAACCACCTGTTTCTGTTCGGACAAACGAGCAGTATCCCAGCTCACATATAAATCAAGTGACTTGTGTGGCGCATATCTATTTGGTGCTTCCTTATACAAATGTTTATGTGTTTAAATAAATGAATAAATAAATAAGGAAGTAACACCGAGTAGGCAGATTCGTCTGAATGATTAGATTTTAAAGGTTGATTGGGTTCTTCTTGTCCGTTTGGCCAATATTATATTCTTTAGAAACCTTTGAAGTACGCTTACCTTTTTATTTGAAGTGTATACATTGATTTTTTGAAGAGTTTAATACATATCACTTTATCACATGGATAGACATCGAATATGGTCCAACCGTGTATTCAATGGTGTTTTGTTGTATGATCTAAATATCAGTCAGTCAGTCAGCTACAACGTAGGACCAGGCACATATATGCATCGGTCCAGGTTGCCATACCGCACTAGCACAGCAAGATGGACACCGGATTCATAGGAGTGGTTAGGTCAAAGGTGGTAATATATAGGAGAAAGATTTAAATATAGTGTTTCTATGGCTTATATTGTCACTTTAAATAAGATTCTTAGCAAATACGTCTGATAAAAGTGAACGTTTTAAATTTGTCCCGCAAATCCTGTATGAATTACTTTAGATTATTTTGTTTGTGAATGATAATCTTGCCGACTTTCTTTATCGCCTTACATCTTTACTCTTGTACTAAATCTCATTAGAAATGGTATTACCCCAACAATGATACGATACGATGAAATGAATCTCTATCGAAATGTCTATTGACTATAGGTTAACCTATATGTCAGGTTTTTAGGAATTTCCTTGAAATGTTTTAGCTCTCTTGATTCATCTTTACAGTTGAGTTCTATATCTATAACAGTCTGTGAAGAGTGATGTGAGTAAAGACGCATTGTGTTGTTGACCTTTCAGTCTATGCTCGTTTATGAATAGGTTATGTGGGAGTCTAGTGTGTTTAATATAATTTTTTTCTTTTTGATTGAGATCATGAACTGATTGATGTTAAACCACCAGTGAAAACTCGGAAGTACTTGAAGGTCGTTTCGTTTTACTGTAGGACTCATCAGTAGTGCGCATCCACGATTCCGCTTACAGGATTCGAACCCAGGGCGTTTTTTGTAGTTCAACAACACACTGGTATGGTGAGTCAATCAGAAGTAGCCAAATGAGAGGCTCATTCGATGGCAATGAGAAGTAACCTGAAGGACAACTGAATGTTACTGACTAAGAAATAGATCGATTTTCTGAGGGGTAGAGTTGTATGTATATGAGTATTTGTGCATTTTATTCGGTAGCCCAATATACTTTCCCGCTCACACTTGTGTTCTCAATCAATTAGTCAGTTGAGCGAGTTAGCACAGAGCACATAGTGTATCAGTAACAGATTCGAACTTTGTCCATCACAACACATACAAGGTTATATTTAATGCATTAAACCTTTAATACTTACCTCACTTCTTGTCACAATAATACGCATTAGTGTACAATCATCGGTACCGGCACCTTTCATTGCTTTCAACAATAAATCAGAATAAGCTTTTGGACGATTTAAACAAGTATTTACTATATATTCAAAAGAAATATTAAAGAAGTAAATGAACAATTGACAAAGACAATAATAAAAGTATGATTGAAAGCTAGTCAGCACGGAACAAATAATGAACGATTTCTATTGTATATATGATCTACTTATTCAATAGTAGATACTCAACCACAGATCAATCTATCACGTATGTATCACCTTACTAGTGTAATGAACGACAATACAGAGAGGTAGGGGAAAGAGGAAACCAATTTACAGTGTAATACAAAATTACATAATATCTTGGTAAAATATGAAAACTATACACTAAATACTTTATTTGCAAATCTTCCTTCAATTGTCCATCACATTCTATATGATTATTTCACTACACAATCCCTCTCTACTTCCCTATTCTGCGTTTCTTTAACTCAATCATCTTAGAGTTCTGATGTCAGGTTTTCTATTTCCCATTGGTGTTACATACTACTTATATCTGTCAACATTAATGGATAAGCATGTTTCAATTCAATCATTAAGTTAATACTTCACGATATGAATTCTTTAACGTTAGCTTAGTAGGTGAATAAGTATAACTGAATATCTTGAAGAGCCTTGAACCATTGTCTAATTTCTCTTGGCTTCAATGATCCCTAGAATACAGAGAGAAAGAGAGAGAGTGGAGAGATTTGTCCCATTTGAAATGTTCTTCTGTGGTTACAAGTTTATAGTCGCTAGCAGGAACCTCTACTCACTCCTTTTATGTAGCAGAGGTATTTGGTTGATCGTGTGAGGGTTTATCTAAAAGAAGTTGGGCTATCCATAGTTCGCACAAATAGGCTCCAGGATTCAGGTGAACGAATGGGATAGGAATAAAGTTTCGTTACTGGTTATCTTTGGAGTGAATCTCCTGAAGTGATCAAACAATTTTGTGAATTAAACCTCAATGCTAAATGATGACAAGAATGATTCACTAAAAAAATCACCTATTTCAACCTGGGTGTTTTATGGACAGTATAAATTGTTAACTGGATATGGAAACTGCTCTTTGAGGTGATTAAAGTAGAAGACTCATGGTTTTAACTGCTTAACACTATCCATCTTTGTTTATAAACGTTGTGATGTAGGGCAATATCGAGGCAGTCGGCACAGGATATACATATACCAACAAGAGACTGATCAATTAAACTCCTGCATAACAGTGGGAAGATACAAGTAAACAATACCAAGTGAATTTGAACTTCACCACATTGTACAAACAAATGGCTACCTGAACTCATTATGTAAGCGGATAACGCGATAGTGTTTGAATCGAACACTGGATGAACATCAACTCTGAGATGGAGGCACACTCAGTTGACGAGTCCCAAAAAGAACGAAACATGAGTCCTGGATTACACTGTCAGCCACTATCCATCTCTGCTCATAATGCTTGTGAATTAAGGTAATATCGAGGTAATTCGCACAAAATGCAAATATGCTAATAAGAGACTAATCAATTGCAGTCTTAAACATCAATGAGAAGATTTAAACAACCAATACAACGATGAATTCAACTTCACATCACTATATAAGCTAGTGACTATCTAGATTCAGTAGCTAAGTGGATAACGTGATGGTGTCTGGAAAGCAAGGTACTGGATTTAAGTCCTGAAGTAAACATAAACTATAGGATTCAAATATATCTAGTCGATGAGTTTCAAATAGGATGAAACGCACATCTTGGATTCCACTGTTAGCCAACATCATCTCTGTTTGTTATGAATTACTGTTACACAGGAATGGATTGGATAAATTCATTGAAATAAACAATAGATATTATAATGATTATCTTACAGGTTAATAAAAGAGCGCTTTCAAAATCTCCAGATGTTTCAGACGCTAATGAATCGACCAATGTTTTATCATATTTCTATGAATAAAATGAAAAAGCGAAATATTAACTGAATATTATTAAACACAAAATAGATCCAGGTTTTCAATGGTGGTCTAGTTTCAATTGACTCATGATCTGAACTGTTGAAATCACTACAATCTCCACAAAACCCCTTATGATACTAATCAATATATGCTCACTATTGGCTGGCTTCAAGAGATATATCCTGGAGTTCTATTGAGAAACAGTGACCAGTGGAGTTCAACCGGGTCAGTTGTGAGGTAGTAACTCACTGATTATAATGGTGGATGTATCGCTCATTTTCGTAGATTAGTTGGAGTTAGACATTAACACCGTTGGATGCCGACCAGCTCAGTGGTCTAGTTGGTTAAGCGCGAGACTGACACGTTCTGGATTTGAATCTCGCGAGGCGGGGTCGTGGGTGCGCACTGCTGAGAAGTCCCGCAGTAGGACGAGACGGCCGTCCAGTGCTTCCAGGTTTTCCACGGTGGTCTAGCTTCAATTGACTCATGATCTCAACTGTTGAGATCCTTATGAATTTGTAGCAGAACTTTTTTTTCAATATTCAATTAAAATACAATAACTTTTCATCTACAAAACCTGATTTGGTTTCAGTAACCGGTCAGTATTCAAGCCCATTACACAAATTGAATGATTTATGTAAGACATATGTATTTTAATAGTTAAATTCATGAGTTCATTGAAGCTAGAACATTATGGAAAATCTAAAAGCATTGGACGGTCGTTTCGTACTATGATAATACAGTTAGTAGATAACAGTCAATCAAATTCCAAGGCAACAAAACAGGCTATTAGTCAATTCTGATGAAATCCTAATAGTTCACTTTTCTTTAAGATACATATTGATGACACTACTCAGAAAGATTCACAGCTCAAAGACCACAGACATTACTTCCATTACCATATAAATACGAGTAACTAAAGATTTGACCTAGGTGAATACATGTATATACAGAATGTTGCATAAAGATAAGACAAACCTTTTCAAACAGACGAGCAACTTCTTGTAAATGCCAAACATTTCGACCGGTTACAATTCGAATGATAGCAGATTCATCAGTTCCTAGATGTCTACAGGAATCAATATAAAACACAACTGATATTTAAGAAGATACATAAATAGAGAATTTAATAATTTGCCTATGAAGAAAAAGTGCTCTAATTATTACATCTTATGGTTAAATTAAGTCACTAACACCTTTACTTTGTCCATTCATACAATAAATAAACGTAATGAGATTTAACTGTTCGGGACGTTAGATCCCCAGAACTCACGTGGGAAAAGACCTAATTTTGTCATTTTATTTGGAAAATTTTGAATTTCTTTGTTTCCGCGCCAAAGGTGCTCTTGTCACCTTCATGTCATATTTCCCACTTGAGAAATATCTTAAATGCTATTGGTCCGTTGCGTCTTTTAGTATGTTATTTGATAACTCTCCACAAGAACGGTTTTGCGCTGTATATATACGTTTTGAATTGTGTTTGTTGTTATCGCTCGTTTCTGGTTGATTTGCAGAATATACTTCCCATTCGTAGCTTCGACTTCTCCCTCTAGTTAGCGAAGCTGGAACGCATCAAATAGCTAGCTAACTGGTCTTGGTCACCGAGTCTTGTTCTCGTTCGCAGATTAGGTGAACTTGTGTTAGCTTGAAACCTAACATTAACATGTTATCAAATTTCAGTTAGTGTACTAAAAGGTTTGGTAAGTAGTTGGAAGTACCTATTCAACTATAGGATGAAGTCATATTCAGCTGACGAGTTTCAAATAGGACGAAACGTGTATCCTGCTAGCCACTATGAAGAAAAACTTCCTAAGTTCTAGTGATACATCTTCATTCTTTTGATAAATTGATTGGGACTTATCACCGAGATATTCCCTAACTATCAGGTAAGCAAGGATGGTTGTGACATTTAAGCGTTTGCTTGTGAAACGGAATATCCTCGACTTGATTCTCAGTTAGGATGTTGTAGATAGACACTGATGAGGAGTCCCATGTTAGGGAGAAGTGGACATTCAAACTCTTTAGATTTCCAATATTTATTCACATAACAAATGTTTGTGATCCCGATGAAACCTACATCTAAGTTGACGTCTTAAATTCATCCATTATTCGTAATATTCTTGATACTTCGGATCCGTTGGTCAGACAATATCGGCAACAACCTACTGTGTGAGAGAACAAACCAGATTCCGATGGAGTCAGAAATGATGAAGAAGTGTTGGGAGTGGATAGAATACACATTGAGGAAATCACTCAACTATCTCACAAGGCATGTCCTCACTTTGAATCCTCAAAGCCAAAGGGAAAGAGGAAGACCAAAGAACACGTTACGCCGAGAAATGGACACAGACATGAGAAGAATGAACAACAATTGGATAGAACTAGAAAGGAAGGCCTAGAACAGAATGAGTTTGAGAATGCTGATCGGCGACCAATGCTCCACTGGTAGTAACAGGCGTTAGTAAGTAAGAGTGGAATGTGATATAGTAATCCAAACGGAAACCTATAAATTATTGATACCTCAAGAACTTTATGCCTAAATAAACCCCATGATATTGGTAGATTAAAATTGGTCTATGACTGAGAACAATTAACATTTACAGCAATATCAATCATTATATACATTTCCAAGTAATTGAAAACTACTTCTATAACATAATGAATAGGTTTGTGCTGATTGGTTCAATGAGAAATAGTTAGCCAATAAGATTATTTCAACTAATCAGTTAACTAAAATGTTGATTTACACTTTAATCATTTCTTTGATTAAGAATCAACTATCACAAATGAAAACAAACGTTTTATTGATTGAGATCATGAATGGATCAATGTAAGATCACTATTATAAACCTATAAGCACTGAACGTGAATGTTTACTGCTGAGGAATCTTATACTGAGACGAAACATTCGTTCAATGCTTCCAGGTTCTCTCAATGATGGTCTAACATTGATCCATTCATGATCTTAATCAATGTTAAAGAAATATCTACTTACGCTTCACCAGCATCCCATAATGTTTCAACATCTTGTTCAACTTGATTCATATTCACTATACTTTTCAATCCTTTTGTACTAATTTTTTCAACATCTTCATATGAAATTTCATCACGACTAGCTTGAAGTAATGCAACGACTAGATTTTGAAAATGTCCACTTAAATCATTTTGAACATCACTTTCTAAAGTTCTTCTAGGATCTATTTTAAAAAGTATAATTTCATTTTTATTATTGAAAAAGTCGTCAGAATCTTGTCATAACAACAATATACAATATAAGAAAGGGGTTTTGTGGAGATTGTAGTAATTTCAATAGTTGAGATTATGAGTCAATTGAAGCTAGACAATCATGGAAAACCTAAAAACGCTGTTGAGGAGTCCTATAATAGGAAGAAATGGCTGTCCAGTGCATCAAGGTTTTCCGTAGTGGTCTAGCTTCAATTGACTCATGATCTCAACTATTGAAATATATATAGTATAATTATGTTGAAACAAATATCAATGTCTATTAATCTTCACAACAGACTAGGTTATTCAGTAATTTAACTAGATCCTTAATGAGAGCTTAAAAGCACTGGACTCCCGTTTCATCCTAGGATGGGATCTTTGAAGCAGTGAGCATCCACTATCCCGTACGTGGCAATCAAAGGAAGGACTCTTGGTCTCGTGTGAACATTTAACTTCTAGACCACTGGGCCGGTATCCAAGGGCATTTATATATAACTTCAACTTATTCACGATATCGAGTAACCCTTATCCATTCCCTACCGTAAATAATTTCCAGTGAAAACAGACCTTAGTGTGGTTACTGATGAGGACCTTAAAACTATGAAACATCAACTGATATATCAGCACAAAAATTTGAACTTTATAAATGGGTTTTAAATAAGAACCCTGAACTGGACGTTATCTAAAAACAGGTTTACTTAAAGGAACAAAATAGGTAGTTAAGGCTCATCAACTATGAGTCGACAGGTGCCCGGGTATCAGTCGTAGCATCAAGAGCACAATGAAAAGAGGAAGATTTCCTTCAAGCCACATAATTCATAAAGCCTAACACTTTAACTAGTGAATAATTGACCAACTATGTAAACCAATTAGTTTCTTTTATAGATTTTGATAAAACAATGAGATCATCTCCTTCTGTTCGTTTTTCTATTAGGACTGAATATGTGTCAAACTACTTACTATTATTCAGTAACATATCCATAAAACAGAAAAACCAAGATAATAATGAGTTTCAATTTGTAGGTTGTATTCTTCACGAATTGACTTCAGTACAAGTGCCATTGATAAATAGGTAAGATTGTACATTTGCTTCTTACTAGCGTAAGACTACTCAATAGTAAATACGAATGAAGTTCAGGTAATACTCAGTGTATTCAAACGGTCTATCACTTAGCTGTGTTTTTTTAAACATATACTTCTAATTTCAATGGTTGAGATCTTGAGTCAATTGAAGCTAGACCATCATGATAAACCTGGAGGCACTGGACGGTCGCTTCTAACCTCACTTGGTGTGGTTTGCTTGTATCTTCCCGTTGTTCTTTAGGACTGCAATTAGTCAGTCTCTTGTGAGCATATACTTTTAACTTCCATCAATTCGTTACATTGAGCGATTATTTTCTAGAGTCATTAACGAGCATTGTTTTACTCACAGAATGTGAAACGTCGACCTGTTATGAGTTCCCTCTAGAGCTTCAGGAAATGATTTTGTACATGTTTTTGTCACTATTAGTTATTATTATCATTAGTTCTTAACAAGCAGTTTTAAGGCACTTTAATCGGCCTTATAACAACTATGTATATATATACTCAAGCTTGTAATCACGAACTGGTTTGCGCTCAGAAGTAGTGAGTTTGAGCCTTAATGAGATATTGTAGATAGTCACATATTAAAGCGCACTGCTGAGGAGTCCCATACTAAGATAAATCCGAAGTTCAGTGTTTCCAGGTTTCTAATGGTGTTCTAGCTTACATCAACTCGTGAATTCAACTGTTAAAAATACTACAATCTTCACAAATCCCCATTCTCATAATTTTCATGTGCTCACTAGTGACTAAATTCAAGATGGATATACTGGAGTTCTAGTAAGAAGCCGTGATCAGTGGAGTCCAATCCGTGTAGGGTGTGAGAGAGTCATTCATTATAGACAATGGATGAAGGGATGTGCAAGTTCATTAATCGATTAAAGTTAGATATTAATAACATTAGATGCCGGTTCAGCGATCTAAATGTTAAGCGTTCACGCGGTATCGTGGATGCGCACCGTTGAAGAGTCTCATCAGTGCTCCACTGGTGGTCTAGCTTAGATAGACTCTTAATTTCAACTATGAAAATACATATTCAAGCAAAAGAAATGTGCAGTGTTACATAGTTATCAACTGTTGTTAAGACTACTACTAATCAGTGTTATCATTGACATGGATACTTAATCTTTTCTAATCAATTCATTATTGACAATGGAAACATTCAGTGTTATGTTAATTATACAATTTGACTTACCGCTGACTCCATAAGCCTTTAGGACTGAAAAAAAATCAGATGCAAAAAAAACGTCATTCAAGATAAACGTTTTACCACATTTTTAGAATTTATCAGTTAAGTGTGTTCCCATCCAGTTGTTGTATTTCTGATACATCTTGCTAATTGAACGCTAGATTCCGTTCCTAGACTCTTCTAGTAACCGTCAAGCTAAATATACATTTTCATGCATGAATATATAACACGTTTTCTAATTGAATACGTAGACTTGGTTTCCTAAGTTCTTCTAGTAACCAACTCTCACATGTTAAATCTACCCAGCAACATGAGCACAAAAGAAAAGATGTGAAATATGGAAATATGCTTGACTCAAAAGGTTGGTTTATGTACAGGAAATCTGAGGTTTTTATAGTATTCAGGATGTCTTTAGGTTTTCCGAAAATTCTCGAATGCTACTAAACATAGTAACAGTATAAGTAAACATGCAATCAGAAACTTGATACGTGACTTTTCACTTTCTAAATGTTTCTGACAAAGCTTCTAGTGAACATTGATTGGATAAGATGCTTCTCAATGTTTTGAAAATTCTTTCCAGGGTTTTTTTCGAGCAGTTTTCTGGATCTTCTCAACACTTTCCTTGATAATCAAATTTAATATTCATTGCTTAAAATACCGGACTATGAAATGTAGATAATAGTCTCAATTCAAGGAGACTTTTAAACTGACAAATTGATCAATCTAATGTTGAATATATCAACAAACAGAAGAATTCCTAGCCACATATTAATAACAATCGTTGTACTCCAGCTATATATGGACGTCAGAGTTTATCAAAGAAAAAAACGTCACTGGATGTCAAGAAAGTCTAAATGATCTTGGTCTAACAAAAAACAATATTCGAACTTCAACATTGAACAATTAGAACATAGAAAGAGTTATTACTATGATTTGTGGTCCTTGAATTTGATAATGATAAGTAAACTCTCAGTACACGACTCCGACTGACTGCTTAAGTGAAAAGACTGAGAGTGAGAAGTACATATATATATATATATATATATATATATATATATATATATATATATCAGAAGGGGTTTTGTGGAATTCAACCGGGTCTGTTGTGAGATAGTAACTCACTGAAGACAATGGTGGATGTGTCATTCAATTTCGTGGATTAGTTGAAGTTTGATATTAACACTGGTCGATACCGACCAGCTCAGTGATCTAATGGCTAGGCGCTCGCGCACGAGACTGATAGGTCCTGGGTTCGAATCTCGCTAGGCGGGATCGTGGATGCACACTGCTGAGGAGTCTCACAGTAGGATGAAACGGTCATCCAGTGCTTCCAGGTTTTCCATGGTGGTCTAGCTTCAATGGATTCATGATCTCAGTTATTAATATATATATATCCCACAAAGAACTAATCCATCAATGATGCATGTCTCATTTGTTAGACATGAGAGTTATTTCTTGGCCAATCATATGCGTTTATCATTTAGTGATTAATGATTGATCCAATGTATTCAAATACTTTCATATACTTTATTTTGGTCATGTAACTTCCAACTCTAATGCACTATATGATATTAGGAAATTATTGAAAAGATTTTGAGATGATGAAGAAGACTTGTAACTCAAGTAGATGATTTTGATGGACTTTTGTTCTCTGAGATGGATGGTGGTTCTACCAGAAGTTTTTGTTGATGAGATCGTTCAAAAGAACGATGAAAGCTCCGTGACCAAACTATCCAGGTGAGAGAACAAAACTCTATCAAGTGAAAAGATTCCAGTAGGTATTAAGCTTAAAACAGTGGCAAGACATCTAAAGAGTCTAAATTTTGATAACTTTCAAGTATGCTTAGAAGGATGGAAAACAAGTTGAGAATATTGTATTATTAAGGTGTAGGATTAATGTACTTCAAAAGTGATTTTCTAGCCACTTGCTAATAACCATTGCCTAAATCTACATGAAAATTTGAACACAAAAGATATGATTCTGCATTTCTTAGATATTTCTGCTAAAATTTCTATTCAACGTTACCTGGATAAAACATTCCTTGACATTTCTAAGCATTTGAAGATTTTGATGAGAGATACAATTGAGAATACTCCAACAAAACCTTTATAATTGAGATCATGAACCAATTGTTATTAGACTACTATTTGAAACTTAGAAGTAATGGATGGCCGTTCCATCCAATTGTGGCACTCTTCAACAATGCATATCCACGATCCTGCCTCACTAGATTCGAACCCAGAACCTATCGGTCTTGCATGCGAACACTGAACCTCTAGACTACTGAATCAGTTAGTATCCAACGGTTTTTATGTCAAACATCAACGTTATTATAATACATATTTTTATTATCTTAATTGAACAGACTACTTAAATCTACTTACCATATTGATAAGCTTGTTTAATATTTTCAATTTCAGTATTAGTTGATGTACATAAAACTTCAATAATTGTTTCTTCATCAGTACCTGCACCATTCATTGCTTTATATAATGCACGTGCATTCACTATATCTATATCAGTTAATAACATTTTAAGTAGTTCTTTAAAATGACCGCTTGTTTCACTAGATAATTCATCTATTAAATCCTATTTTAAAACAAACAAAAAAATTGAAAAATATAATTATTAAATGTTTTATATAAACAATTGAAACATTGAATTATTTTTTTTAAACGATAAGAAGCGCGAAACTATAGTTTACGAAAGAACCAATCAGATTTAAGATAATAGGTGTTGGATTTTGGCGCGTAATTCAATCGGTCCAATAGCATTTTAGTATTATAGTTAATGTCAATTCGTGATGTAAATACCTTCAAAAATCTAATTCTTAAACTTAACCATCAACTGTAAATCATAATTCTAGTTTCTCATTGTTAAGTGACGATAAACATAATGAATGGTAATTTGAGGATCCTTTTATGGATCAATACTAAACGTATATTTTTATCGTATAATTGTTAAATAACTAAACTATTCATATTGCAGAGGCTGAGATTGGTGTTCTGAACTTAACTGGCTGGGCTACGCAGGAAGCAGAACCAATCAGAAGTCTAGGCTGCTCGCACGTTGGTCGGATCGATAATCCACTGCTCTCCAATCGGCGGACACAAGTTATAACACTCATACTCGTTTATAACCCTCATTTGGTCCTATTTACTAGGCGAACATTCTAAAGGTCACTTAATCATAGTCTCACTACAAGAAGAGATCAGTTTTTTAAAGGTTATAGTATTTTCATAATTGAACTGACAAGTCAATTTAAAGTAAGATCATCAATGAACGTTTGGAATTACTGGAGTTTTATATTAGAACGAAACAGTCATTCAGTAATGTCAAGTTTTCAGTAGTGATGTAACTTAGATTGACTTTTGAATTTAACTATGAAAATGCCTATGAGTTGCTTTTATAGTTGAGATAAATTTCTACGCTATAATAGAATTGAATACATTCGTTAAGAAACCCTTATACTAAGCTTCATACTTTTTTATTAAAATTGAATAATGGTCAGTATTGAGATGCAGGACGTGAGTTTCGCGGCACTTGAACTCAGGACCTTCTGTGGTGCGTGCAAATGCTTAAATCTTTAGACCACTAAACGTCAATCGATTCATGATCTTGAGCAACACTTCATTCATTGCTTCAGATGGATAACTGTCTCACACTCGATACGGATCGGAATCTACTGTTCAAAGAGTGCGGGACTGTCGATGAGCACTGTTGAAGAATCCCATACTAGGATGAAATGGCCGTCCAATGCTTCCAGGTTTTGCATGGTGGTCTAGCTTCAATAGACTCATGATCTCAACCATTAAAATCACTATAATATCCACAAAAACCCTTTCTGATATTTTGGTAATCCTACCTCTTTGTTGTTATTTATTAGCTTCTTGTAATTGGTTTCAAGTCTTACTTGAACTATGAATCAATTAGTGAATACTATCATGTTGAACAAATTTCAGTTGATCAAGAATTTTTCAAACATACAATTACAATTTGATATTGAAATTAAGACCTAAATCACCACTGAGGACTTGAAAGCACTAAACGATCGTTTCATCTTAGTATGAAACTGCTCAGGATTACGCATTCACAATCCTTTATCTGGGAATCAAACTCAGGACTTTCAATCTTATTACATAGACCACTGGCCAGGTATTCAACGGTATATAATATTGCCAGGTTTTCAATCGTGGTGTTTCATTAAAATCAGTTCATGATATAAAAGCTATAAATTCTCTAATCTTTACAAATTCTATAAAGTGATACAATCTATTTGTTGGAGTTCGAACTCTATCATCAATTACTTCTTAATTTATTTGTAGTAATATACAATTTTACGTATTACAAATCATTAAGACTCAGCACACACAAAGGAAAAACCAAGATTCTCAAATACAACACACAAAAAAAACACCAACCCATTCACACATGATGGAGAAACTCTGGAAAATATGGATACGTTCACATATCTAGGAAGCATCATCGATGAACAAGGGAGATGTGATGCAGATGTGAATGCAAGAGTTGACAAAGCAAGGACAGCATTCCTACAACTGAAGAACATATGGAACTCAAAACAACTTTCAACCAATATCAAACTCACAATCTTTAATACAAACGTCAAGACACTTTTACTGCATGGAGCTGAAACTTCGAGAACTACTACAACCATCATCAGCAAGGTACAAGTATTCACAAATAGTTGTCTACACGTGATACTAAACATTCATTGGCTGGATACCATCGGCAACTCCATTCTGTGGGAGAGGACAAACCAGCTTCCAGCTGAAGAGGAAAGCAGGAAAAAACGTTGGAAGTGGATAGGACATACAATACGGAAATCACCGAACTGAATCACACGGTAAGCCCTAACTTGGAATCTTGAAGGGAAGCGGAAAAGACGAAGGTCAAATAGCACATTACGTCGGGAAATAGAAGCAGAAATGAAAAAGATGAATGACAACTGGAAAGGATTGGGCAAGACAGGGTTGGATGGAGAGTGCTGGTGGTTGGACTATGCTCCTCCATAAGGAGTAACAGACGTAAGTAAGTAAATAACACACAATTATGATTACTATCAATTTACCTTTCCATACATTGCTTTAAACGTTTCTCGTATTTGAATTCGTTGAATAGAATTACGATAACCCAAAACATTAATGATACGATGTTCATCAGTTCCTAATGAAAATACAGAAAGAAAAAAGTGTGTACGAAAATGTTTTTTTCCAATTACTTTGCAAGTGAGTGGTTGTTGAGGCTTATTAGCTAAGTGGATAACTTAGTGGTATTTAAAACGAACGGTACTAGATTCAAGTTCCAGAGTGAATATCAACTTTGGTATGCAGGTACATTCAACTGACAAGTTTCAAATAACAATACAAAAGCATCTTAGATTTCAAATGCTAGATCCATTCCATGCATTTTATATGCCTATATTAATAATAAAACACACTTCCTTCAAACAAAAAGACACCTCAATCTAGTATATTTTATACCTTCATTAGTTGTAGTAGTACGTGTGAACGAAGGTTTTGCAATACTGTAAATTGTAAACCAACAGAGATAAACTCAACAGTCTGAACGTCAAATACTTGCTAAATACCCTGAAGGTGTTCAGTTCAATTTCCCGTTAAAACAGAATATGAAAACTACCTTAAAAAAAATCCAATTCTATGACGAAATAGTTGTCAAATGCCTTCTGGTTTTTAATGGATATCTAACTTAAGTCAGTTCATGATTAGAAAAACTGTTCCCAAATGTATTGGAACGGCCGAGGGTGAGAAGAGTCAGCTCTCTTTCCCGAAATACTTTCATATGGACATACGTATACAGCCACTGCCAGTGAATTCCTACTCACTGCCTTCTCACGGCATTACTATTGTTTACGAAATTGAGAGGACGAAAAGAGAATGTTCGGCGTTGTAATTGGGTTGGTGGATATGGAGTATCCACATAGGGGAGTTGGAAAACCATCATTCCAAACTAATGGTACACATGGACTCTAGTATCCTGAAGGAACAAACGCGTCTGAACCAATCATTGATTGCCGGCTACTATGGGACTGCATCTTCTAACGCTGCTCCACTGTCTTGTGAATCAGACCTTTAAGTCGAAGGCTCTGGGTGTGGCTTCCTAAAAAAAACCCACCTACTTCGGTTTGAGCTTCCTATCAGTGTCATAAGCCACACACAAACCAAGTGACTTGTGTAGTGCATATCTATTCGGTGTTCCTTTTATACCAATACCTGTGTTCAAGTAAATATTAATAAATAAACACAAAACCACAGATTCAGTAATCTCCACAGCCTTCTATATGAATATCTATATGCCAATGACCAATACACCAACGTCAAGCCTCCTTAAACTATTATTTTCTTATTAGTTTTCGGGTTATCATGTGATAAAAAAACACTGATGAAGTTTGTCTGGTTACTATGTTTACACTGTTTATGCATGATTATAAGCTTTTCAAGGATAAATCATCTTATCTTGTAATTGAGATAGTCAATCACGCCCAATTAGAACTTATAACAATGAATAATTAATGATGAAAGAAAAACAGAATTTCCCACTTTTTACATAGTTATGTTGAAAAGTAACGAAAGAAATTAGATATAGACTACTTATATTGAAAGATATAAGTAGTATGTAGCCGCAATCCGAAATGTAAAACCTGTCAGAAGAAGATTAAATTGAAGAGATCGGTAAAGGGAAACAGTGAAACAATGGAATAACAACAGAATTTGAAGAATGAAGAAGTATGTATATGACAACAAAATGATGCAATACAAAACTGTTACAATTTATGGCTCTATCTATTATCATGTGTAAAGTCACCAATCAAAGTACCGACTTATATGATTCTGTCCCTCTACTAAACTAATAACACATCAACAAGAACTAGCAAGCCTGTATCTACTCTGAGTCTTTATTGGTCCTCAGCATGATTGATTATGAAACTTTGTATCGTTCTTCTGAACGACATCATCAGCACAAACTTCATGTAGAATTGAAATGTTCGGATTTCTACACATGTGGTTCACAGTTTGTCCTGTACACCTCGATATTAGATTGGTTCTTGTTGACCTTGAACCCGTCATTGTTTACTTTTTTGTTTTGGTTCATGTTTGTGTTTTTTGTGACCCAGGATCTGTCTTTAATTAGATCGTATAAATAATTGCTGTCGAAATATACATATATATATCGCTAATTCTTGTATAGGATTATCGACTTAATCCACGTTAGCGAATAACGGAATTAAATAAGCCAAATATGAGAAAAGATTTTGAATATGTATATCTCATGGACACATCACTGATTTGAACAGGCAATCAAGGCGATGAAACAAAGATGGAAGAACGAAGCAGGTTGGCGAAGGCGTGTGAACCAACTCCAAGAGTTAATCAATATTTATAGTCACACAAAAATAAGTTACGGATATATAGTAAATAAGATAAGAGGGGCACATATATATGCGCTCATATGAAAACAATTAAGGTTGATAAGCCAATAATTAAAATGGCCAAAATGTAGCTTGATTAGAATGGATAAACTAGCTTGTTCGTAAGCTAGAATAAACTATGTAGGTTTGACATAGTACCCGCTCCTACAACTGGTAGATGATGTAATCATGGTTAAAATGAGTTAAATGAGATTATAAATTCAATCGTTTAATAACAATGTATATGCGAACTCATTCTACAAGTATAAGTCTATGCATGTTTCTTCTTACAGGTATTTCTCAGTTCTAAAATCATTTTACCAATTGTGTGTTCCGGTTATTATTGAAATCATGTAATTTTAATATTACAGAATAAATAGCTTGTAGTGTGTAATAGAATCTAGGAGGATTTTGATTGAGATCATGAACCGATTGATGTTAGACTACCATTGAAAAACTGAAAGCACTGGACGGCCGTTTTGTCCTGCTGTGGGACTCCACAACCCCGCTAGTGGTATTCGAACCCAGAACGCTTAACCGCTAGACCACTGAGCCAGCATCCAACTGTGTTAATATCTAATCTCAACTAATCCACGAATTTGTGCGACCGTCTTCCATTGTACTGTACAATAAACAGCTTGGGTGCAGCTAGACGAAATGGACCTAGCTCTTCCATCTCATACACCAACAAATGCATGTAAAAACAGACAATGTAACAGCAGCCACTGAAATAGTAGGCCTCAGCATATACAAAGGAAAAACCAAAATTCTCAAATACAACACAAAGAACACTAACGTATTCATACATGATGGATAAACTTTAAAACAGGTGGAAACTTCCACTTATCTAAGGAAATTCATCCTACAACTAAAGAACATATAGAATCCAGAAAAACTTTCAACCAACATCAAAATCAGAATCTTCAATACAAACGTCAAGACAGTCATACTATGCGGGGCTGAAACTTCCAGAACTATTACAAACATCATAAAAAAGGTACAAGTATTTATAAACAATTGTCTATACAAGATACTTTATGTCTGTTGGCCGGATACCATAAGCAACAGTCTACTATGGGAAGGAACAAATCAACTTTCAACTAAAGAGGAAATCAGTAAAAGACGACATTGAAGAGATCATCGGATTGCATCATGAGGGAAGTGCCAACTTAGAATCCTGATAGGAAAAGAAAAGGATAAAACCAAGGAACACATTGTGTCGAGTATTCGAAGTAGACATGTAAAAGATGAATAGGAATTGGAAACAATTGAAAAGAATTACTCAAGACACAGTTTGATTAGAAAATGCTAATAGTTGGCTTATGCTCCTCTATGAGGGTTAACACGCGTATGTAAGTAAGTTTATCAACAATATTTCAACAATATACCATTCCTTATTTCACTGTAGTTCAAGTTGTTGAATTCATTTTTTTGACAAGTTACCTTAAGAACCGCAAGTATATGTTTTGTTCTAAAGCGTTTCCATGAAGTATAGAATAGTACTGTTTGAACCATTTACAAATAAAGATCAGATAAATAAATAAATCAATATGGAGATTTGTGAAGACGGTAGAATTTTCACAATTGAAATCACCAGTCAATCTAAGCTAAACCATTACTGAAAAATGTGAAAGTACTAGATGACCGTTTCTTCACAGTAATGAAACTCTTCAGAAATGTGCATCGAGACTAGGAACAAATAACTAGATACTATAATAAACATTATTGATTAATGTATTAAACTGATAACGTATGACCATATACAAATTAGCTTCTATATGAATTTGATTTTGAATAACACATTTATACTACTGGAGGTCAATCTCTACCTGAATAATGTCTCATTCTGTGAAGCTGAATAACACTGGTAATTCGAATCACACAGGGGGGGAGCATATAAGCTATATAACACAAAATCTAAGTTGATTAAAAATTTACTGCAAGTCATCTATCACCTATGAATATCAACTCCTAGATAATATTTATCAGGGTGGAATATCTCAATCATTTCAAAAACCGACGAGTCCCAAATAGGACGAAACGCGTGTCCTGGATTCCACTGCCAGCCAATATCCATCTTTGCATATAATGCTTGTGAATTAAGGCTATATCGAAGCTATACGCACAGTATGCACATATGCTTATAACAGACTGATCAATTGCAGTCTTAAATCACAATGGGAAGATTCAAGCAAACAATAACATGTGAATTTAAAATTCACCCGATTGCACTAGCAAGTGGCTAGCAGGACTCAGTAGGTTAGTGAATAACGAGATGGCGTTTGAAGTGAATGATACTGGGTTCAAGTCTCAGAGTGAACATCAACTCTCTGAGATGCATGTACATCCAGCCAACGAGTCTCAAATAAGACGAAACGCATGTCCTGGATTTCACTGTTAGCTACTATCCATCTTTGCATATAATGTAAGAAGTTAGTTTCTATGAAACTTAGCCAATCAATCAAATCAAATCATATCCAATTGGACGTAAAACAATCATTCTTATATTCTTAATGTGTTTTTACATTCATGAATGCATATGTAACTCATGTTCATTATTTCATGTATACTAAGTGTTTACTATGAGAACTTGTAATGTAATCAACATATAATTGTGTACTTTGTTCTAATTAGTAATATACATATAATCAATCACATGTATTCCATAAAAAAACTTGAATTAGAAATCATGCACGTTCAATGTTCAAATTGTTTATTAAAACAAAAATGCAATTGG